AGTGTAATCACTGCACACACACACACAGCACTTATTCGCAGTGTAATCACTGCACACACACACACACAGCACTTATTCGCAGTGTAATCACTGCAGTGATTCCACCCGGTATCCTGCTCTGAATCAGTCTGCAGTCATCGAGTCCAAACTTGCCCTCCGCTCATCCTGCCCCCATCCCTGCCGCAGCAGTTCATTAAGATAATACACACCTTCTCAGCACCCCCACCCCCCCTCCCGACTTCCTTGGCAGATAGAAGCAGGCACCCAGTGCCCATCCCCCCCTACCAGTTTCCAGCCAATGAGAAATGGCCCACTCCTCAAGCTGCCCCCCTCAAGAGAAGAAAGAATCAATGAATGGGGGAGGGGGGGGGGCTGTTCCTTAAATTATGGATGAAAGATGATGTTGTTTAATTTAACTTTACAACTCCCCTTGTGGAGCAAATTCTTTCCCCATAGTACACCTCTGCAGTTACCATGGCAACAATACCACGGTTCAGGCCTGTCACCCATCTGTCCACACCGATCGGAGCCTGACCCCCTGCTCACAAGAGACTGTCAATCCAGTCCAAACAAAGCCTCATAATCAGCACTGCATCTTCAACAAACCTATACTGACAGCACACAGGACATTTCATTTAACCACCAGTTGAACAAAAGTAAGTTTTAAACGTCTTAAAGAACCACAGAAGAACCACACTGTAGATTTCAGCGATAGGCCTTAGATCAGGACATCTCTACCTCATGAGCTGCTGTGTTTGTAGCAATGAAAGCAGAGCTATGCTTGCATATAATTTATAAACTATAGGCTAGAGACAAGCGGGTGCAGGAAATGGATCGATGGATGGAAACTATGTCCATATAATAAAGAACATGTATAATGAGGCAGACCAGACAGACAGACAGACAGATAGATAGATACTGTATTAATCCATAAGGAAATTGCAGATAACATAACACTTAAAAAACTTTGTCTTAGGGGCACATTTTAATCAAAGATCAGATAACTAACTTAAGCTTTCATAAAACGACTGGAACCCCCTCGAGGTTAAGTACATAAGTATTTTATAAAAGCACAGCAATATACAAGGAGTATTCCCACGACTCGGCATGGGAATCGGTACGCCAAAAACGCATTTATTTACATTACAGACTATTCTCTGTGGTGATGTCAGTGCCGAAACCCTGCAGTCAGAGCTTTTAAACCAATGGGAGAAAAAAATATTTCGTGTAATCTGAACTGCAAAATGAAAAATTATCCGACATCGTAATTAATATTAAAATCTGGGCAGCCTCCTTTCCCAACGCGGACAGTGTTTCGGGTGATTCTTTTCGGTAGTAAAACACCAAATTGACTCTTAGCATATTTGGGAAGAGCCACAAAACAATAAAATAATACATAGGGGTGCAGATCATTAGCGATCTGTATTCAACTTGCATTATTATCACGCAAAAGTAAACAGGCGCATACACAGTTTGTCAGCTCAACACGCCACAGCGCATACAAACCAATTACAGTAATGGAAATTATAGCCACTGATTAACATGGTGTGTAACTTAAATACACATCGCCGAAAGGCACAAATACCAGGACCAACATCACGATCATGCTATAGAAATAACATGGCGCAGAACGAATGCGGAAAAGCAATTTTTACTTGCACTGCGCACACACTTTAAAAGTATCTACTTGCGATTTCTGTAAAGTAATATTTAAAGAAAGACCAAGTGGTTAAACGCTCTTTTTTGTTGATACAACCTACGCATCTTTCCTATAAGCAGCCAACAATAGTTTTGGTAATCTGCCATAAAACTACTCATTTACCTGCTGCTGAAATGTAATTACTCGTAGTCCACGCGACTTAACAGAGTAATTCTTTTTTCCTGAAGGTGAACTTTCAAATCGTCCTCTTTTCCTTTCCCCTTGTCCCGGCAATCACTTTTTCTTACTCGGCGTCCTTTGCAGCCTCACGGGGAACGTGCCCCGCAGACCCCACCCGCCGCACCGTCACTCAGCCCCTTACAGCGCTGCGGATGTGTGTCGCCCACAAGCGGACGGAGCCGTGCATTTAATTACAAAAAGCAGAAAATGAACTCTTTGTAACACTTCACCAAATGCGTTGAACTTTTCACTCCGACAAAAAAATATGTAAATGTTGCTGGCTGCAAATGTTTCGTAATAACTTAATAAGTGATCTTCAGCACGGAATGTTGGAAGTTTTGATAACGGCGAAAATACCCCTAGTAAGGTGTTACTTCTGTACCCTACTTTAAATGCCACGTATTAAAGAGTAATTATTGCTTTTATTTAAATAGGTGCTTTAAAGTATTGTTGGTTTAATTGTGAAAATACATTTTATTAAGCGTAAAGTTGGAAGTATTTTATAAGGTATCCAGGTTTATAAAGGTATGTTATTGTTTTTATTTATATTATTTGTTATATGATATGAGTAACACGGCTCTGTAATCACGGTTAATAAACTAGAATCTGAACGTTTGGAGCAGCCGGGAAAAGACTTAGTCCGACCTTTATGAATTTCGCACGAACTGTACGTGTTGGTTCCCGTTTTCATATCTAAATATTGACATATCAGGATATATAAATACAATGGGGGGCTTACAGCGTATCCCAGGCAATACAAGACAAGGCTACAGCCTAAACAATTAGTGCGGAAATGTGAAGCAACTTTAAAAACCACACATATCATTGTAATCAATTAAGGTACTATCCAGAGGCAAATTATAGACATGAGTATATCAAAGTTCAGACATGTCATAGTAAAGAATAACTGTGTCTTCAATAATGAGAAATCAAGCAAAAAACATGTAAATAAGTATGCACATTACAACAGCAAATTAATCAAATATAACTAATTAGTGAGACCAGTTCGTAGGAGCCAGGCACCATTGCACTATGGATGGAATCCAGAGCATCCAGAGGAAACCTACATAAACATGGAGAGAACATGTGGCCTCCATCTACAAACATGTGTGGATCAGCAGGATTCACTGGAGATGGGATTTTCGGGACCTGTAACAGATTCTGAGAGACGATGAGGTTCTCATCTAGGACAGCATTCAGGTCGAGTCATTTCTGATCTTTTCATTTATCTTTTCACTGCTCTTATGTTCCCTACTTAGGCCAAAAACACAGGATAACCTGGGAACATAGTAAGAACATCTGTGTCTCCCAGTCATTTGTTGTGTGGCCCATCTTGAGTGTAGCCAGCTTCCTGAACCAATAAGAACAGCACTGGCAGCTTCACAGCTTCAGCAGGAGTGCCCACAGCAGGCGTCAGTCGTCATTTGCTAGTCAAAACTCCAGGCATGTGACCAAAGGCGTGGAGATGTGGTTTATTCCACATGCAAATACTTCCAAGACCATCCAGTTCTGGAGATCAGATAAACATCTGTTGTGGTCATAAAGCTGAGCACTGATTGATTTGGATGAGAACCATTCTCTCATATGGAATTGAACACTCCCCTTATTTAAAAACATTAACATCAATCATCTGTAAATGGTTACTATGGCAAACACACATCACCAAAATAACCATGGTGTGCTGATTTTGTTTATTTTTCCTTCTGAATCCTTCTTTCATTCTTCTCTGTTTTTTTCAACCCCCTCCTGTCTCCATCCTCTTTCTTGCCATCCTTTCACCCCCCATTTCTACTTCGATCCCACCCTCTCTTCTTCTCTTCATCCCCCTTTCTCTCTCCTACCATAGTTTAAGTGCTGTGGCAGTAACAGTTTTGCTGACTGGAAGGAAAGCACCTGGATCCTGTCATCTCAGTCTGAAGACAGGATAGTTCCGGATAGCTGCTGCAAGACCATTACCAACCACTGCGGACAGAGAGACCACCCCTCCAACATTTACAAGGTGGAGGTGAGGCAGAGGGAGCCTGTCGGCTGGGGTCTCTAACCCTCCACTGTGTAGTTTGAGAGGACAAAACAAACACCAGCATTCACATACACCGTAAACCGGATTTAAAATTTACCGACTGTGGTATCAAACTGAAGTTTCAAAATGTCTGTGGATATAAAGGGTTGATTCAATTCAATTCAATTTTATTTATATAGTGCTTTAAACAACAGTCATTGTCACAAAGCACTTTACATATAACCAGCCTGAACCCCGACCAAGCAAGCCTGAGGCAAGGAAAAACTCCCTCTAGCAGGAAGAAACCTTGAGAGGAACCTAGACTCGGAAGGGGACCCCATCGTCCTCTGGGCGACCGGGGAGCATGAAAATGTATTCATGCACATTAACATTAGTATAAGATTAATGATTCATTTATCATTTTAAGGAAGTGAAGATATAAAAATAGTCTGAAGGTGTTGTTGCTTCGGCCGCATGCTAAGATCCTCTCGGTAACATTAAGCTAAAGTTGGTTCAGTATTAAATTGGAATTGAGTTCAAGTCCATATAGTTTAAAAGTCCCAGTTGGTTCCAGACAATGATCTCCAAGGAGTCCCGGTGAGGGTTCAAGCGGCGAAGTGTCAGCTCGATATTCAGTTCAGAAAAGAGAAGAAAGAGAAGAGAGTTATTGCCTTACACCTCACCTCCGGCAGTGTTAAAGTAACTATGGAGATGGAGAGATGGAGAGATGGAAGGAAACACAGACATGAGGGTTTCCAGGGGTTCCAGGGGTTTTGGCATCAAGCTAAACTACCGTCAACAGCTTAAGTGATCTACGAGAGTGGCAGGACGACAGCACCAATCCCTCCTTTTACCTTTAATCTCAAATGACCATGAACCCCCCGATTTCCCATTCACCTTAGAAAAGGGGATTTTAATATCCAAAAGACTGACTAAAGAGGTCAATCTTAAGCCTTGACTTAAAAGCAGAGATTGTTTCTGAGTTCCAAACACTTCATGTGTAACTGAACAGCTGTATGGCAGTTAATGTGAGTACAGAGATATAAAGAACTTGAGTTGGTTCGATACAGAGAACGCCATGCTTGAAAGGCGATGTCTGCTTTTACAGGGTGGCTTCATCACGAAGCTGGAGACCTTCATACTACCGGGGTAGGTTGTAACAGTTAGACAAAAGAAGCAAAAACACTGGTCACACCATGCTATATGCTTCATAAGAGGTTTGTTGAAATAAGTGAACAATCCAGAACAGTGTCTCTCTGACTGACCATAACTCAAATCCACTAGTCTGCTGGAACAAACTTCCTTAATGATATGTATGTGTACACTCTACTGCAATGCATCTGAGCATAAAAAATGTAAATCTAATAAAAATAATGTGTGTATGTGTGTATTCTTAATCAGAGTCACTATTCTGACAAATGAATCTTGGTATCCCTGGAGTACAGGCTTGGTGGGCCCAGAAACTGTCAGGCCATAATACAGGTCTGCCACGTGAGTCAAATATTCTACCAGCACCGTCTCCTGCACCTCAGAGAAAACTTTGTTGCTGCTGTGGTAACCTACACTGGGAAGATCACTGGACCCCTGGTCTCAGCTTCTGCAGTGATTTGCAGTATCTGCTCAGTGTTACGTGGCAGAACCCATGTGCCTTTGCAACTGACCTGACTGACTTGCCCTTCCTTGTGACCTCATCAGATGCTTTTTTTAAAAACACTGGCAGACACACCTCTTTCAGTCTCTTTTCCAATGTCTAGGCATTCTGCAAAATTATTCAAATCAAAGAAAGTGTCCTTAGTTGTATGTAAGGGGATGGTTGTAACACTTATTAAAGATGTGTTACAACCCTCCCCATCCCTCTTAGCTGTTGTTCAACTAGCTGTAGTAGGATAGTGATTTGAAATTAGCAGGGGAAAAATACATTACAGCATACCTGAGAAACTACAATTAAATCTTAAGTCATATGATTTTATCTGCAATAGTATAAATACTAAACAAAATATAATCTTGGTCAAAAAAAATTACTTTACCTCAAAATATGTTTTTTTATTAATAGGATCGGCATGTACCTGTTTCCAGCCTTGATATCCACCATGTAGGTTTAGAGTGGAAGTGGGTAAACACTGAAATGATTACATGACTCTCATCCTATCCCTTATTGGTGGAATTGGTGGTGTTACAACTCTCCCCAGGGAAGAAGCAGACCCCGAAATGCAGGAGAACACTTTAATAAGGAAACCAGGTACACCAGAGTCCTGAGGGAAAATCCAAAAGTCGTGTCGGTCACGGTGGGTCTGGAGCCAGGAAGGTCAATCCTATGGGTAGAGACGGGACGTGGAGACGAAGGGATGGGAGTAACGACGAGAGTAGACCGGGTAGGCAGGGCAGGCGAGACGACAGGGCGAGACAGGCAGGGCTAGCGGGAGACAAAGAAATTCTCAGTTTGCATCATGAATATGGCAACAATACTTCGCGATTTTGGGGAATCGCTTCCGTATTAGAGTCATTAATTAGGTCGGTCTCGGGTGTCCATATCAGACGTGAGCCAGAGCCCCACGTGAGTGAGGTGAGAGGTGCGCCGACCTGGCTAAAATTTGGAATGAAACGACGATAGAAGTTGGCAAACCCCAGAAACCACTGCAACTCCATTAGGGTACGAGGTGATGGCCACTGTTGGATGGCGGTCACTTTTTTCTCATTCATGGCCACTTCCAGGACGAATGACATAACCAAGGAACTGCACCTGGGTCTGATGGAACTCACATTTCTCAACGTTAGCGAAGAGGTGGTACTCATGCAATCTCTGGAGGACCTGCGCACATGACGGACATGTTGAGAGAGGGTAGGTAGATAACCCATAAGGCATCACCCAATACTGATACTGGCCTGTATTGGTGATGAAAGAGGTCTTCCACTCTTCGCCTTGGCGAATTCACACAAGATTATAGGCGATACGGAGGGCTAGTTTAGTGAAAACTGTGGCCCTTCTAAGCTGTTCGAGTGCTGGCGGGATCAACGGTAGGGGTTCTCATCTTTTCACGGAGATGGCGTTGAGGGCTCGATAGTCGATGCAAGGGCAGAGTCCTCCATCCTTCTTCTTCACGAAGAAGAATCCGCCTGAAACCGTGGATGTAGGACGAATAATACCTTGTTGGAGTCCCTCTTGTATATAAGTCTCCATGGTCTCCTCCTCCTGAACGGATAGGGGGTACAGGCAGCCCTTTGGAAGCGCTGCCCCCTCTAGGAGGTCGATGGTGCAATCACACTCTCGATGGGGAGGTAGTTGAAACGACAGGGCCTTACTGAAGACATCGTGAAAGTTTGCATATTCGGCTGGAATCCGAGAAAGGTCCTCTGGTTCTGGGCTTTCTACTGAAGAGACGCAGTAAGGCAGGGCCATACATTGGAGAAGACAATGGGGCGACCATGCGATTAGCTCACCCGTACTCCAGTCAATTCAGGGGTTGTGCTCCTTTAGCCAGGGGTGTCCAAGGATCACAGGGTCCTTAGCTTTGGGAAGAACTAGGAAACTGAGGGTTTCAATATGAAAAAACCCCACCTGGAGCTTGATTGGGTCCGTATGGTAGCCAACCTGTCCCCCTTGAAGAGGCTCTCCACTGACACCCAGAACCATAATGGGGTTGGAGAGTGTCTGTAAGGGGAGCTTGAGTTGGCGGGCCAACGCGAGGTCCATAAAATTACCAGCAGCGCCTGAATCAACCAGTACACACGTATGGTGTCCCTCTCCAAAGCAGGTAACAACTACTGGGACAGTTGTGTCAGGGAGAGTCCAACAAACGAGGAGGTGCCTACCTTTGTCTGGGCTTCAGGACGGTGTGGGCAAACAGGGCAGGAACATAGGAGGTGTCCTGCTTCCCCGCAATATAGGCACAATCCCTAGGTGGTGCATCTGCGTCTTTCCGTGGTGGAGAGCGGAGCATGTCCGAGCTGCACGTGCTCCGCATGTTCCTCTGGGGCTGTTGATGGCAAAGGGGGGATCGTCTCGGGGGGACGTCTGCGACGGCGCTCCCAGACACTGTTGTCAATGGTGACAGAGAGAACCGAATGTAGTCCTCAAAACACAAGGTGGCGCCGCGGGACATCAGCTCGTCTTGTATTTCCGGGTTGAGAGTGCGTCGGTAGAGAATCCTCAGAACCTCCTCTGGCCTGCGAAGCCCTGCTGATATGGTGCGGAATTCTAGCGCAAATTCCGCGAGGGGTCGGGCTCCCTGTTTGAGGTTGGACAATCTCTTCCCCAGGCTGTGTCCGATGGTGGGATGATTGAAAATCCCCTTAAATGCCTGTTGAAACTCGCGTGCTGAATCTAGGAGCGGGCTGTCATCCATCCACAGGGCTGTAGCCCAATCGCGTGAGCGTCCTGTGAGGAGCGAGCTGACAAAGCGAACTCGGGCAGTCTCATCAGTAAAGTGCTCAGGGTGTTCCTCAATAAACAGCCCGCACTGCATGAGGAAAGCCTGACAATGATCTGGGTTGCCGTCATACTTTTCAGGCATTGCAACAGGCACGAAAGCGGACGCCCTGGGTGGGGAAGCAGGTAGGTTAGCCTGGACAGCCTGTCCCTCCATAAGCTGAGAGACGAGGGTGATTAGCTGGTCAACCTGCTACTGCAGCCTCTGGTTCTCTGTGGGAGAGACAATAGACAAAGAAATGCTCAGTTTGCGACAGGCATATGGCAACAATACTTCGCGATTTCGGGGAATCGCTTCCGTATTAGTCATTAATTAGGTGGTGATTGCCCGCTGCTGCACTGACCCGCCCCCGTGGACGTGACACAACCATACCCGGTCTCCCCTATTTCTCATCCCTGTTTGCTACCTACAGTACCTGCCATCCCCCAATGAATGCTTTAAAATCCAAGGATGATCATTTAAAGTTCTTGTATTTATTTATTTAGATTTGGCGTTTGGGTAATACAAAAATCAGGTACTGCTTTGTTTTTGCATGATTTTCTTGTACTGCTTTTCCTTCATATTTAACTGAAATTTTGGATGGACTCAAATCATGTGTGGCAGAGACCGGGTGGGGGGGG